GAACCCGACCAATCAAATTCTGGTAAACATCAACGCAAAAATGTCGTCTTCGAAACTTGTACCTGATTGATGGATGCTCGGTTTATATTATTGAGTTTGCAGGCAATGGGTTTTTCTTCACCGTCTGGCTTATATTATTGCGTTAGCAACGGGGTTCTATTTTGCGATCTTATACGAGATTTACGGATGTGTGGTTTATACCGAAGAAGTTCGAATGCAACGAGTTTCAATGTGCAATCTTTCACGAGATTTATGGATGGATGGTGTACGAGTATATTGGAGGAGTTGGTGGGCATGGACAGTTCTTTACATTTTAGGTTGCTGTTTTAATTAACATTGGCCTGTCGAAGGTGCTATATACGTACTATATTGAATCAGGTTTACTAAGTACGTTCATTATAACGGTATTTGTTATTTATTTAATTGTGTATTAGCATATTGCACGAGTATCGTGCACAAAGTCTAAGATTCATTTTCGTCAAGGCAAATGAAGAGTATTTTTGATTTGTGAAATTTCTAGCAAGCATCAAACTCCATGATACGAAATCGTGCCAGTTCTAAAACAGATGCAATTGACTGCTAGCCTCATGCTCGATATTGTTGTATGAATATATACATTTATCTAACCCGATGTGTAAGTAGTGAATTAATCCAATTTCATGTTTCTTTTTTGAAGCTCGATTCCTCGTACACGCATTTTATGGGAAGTCGTTTGCTTATCAGGTTGTGATATCATTTTACCCACTGCGCCGTTGCGATGACAGTTCAAATTGAAATTAAAGGAAACGGAATTGCTGCCATTGGGCTCTCGAAAAATTGCGCCGGGGTGCTCATTGAAGGCTGCCTAGAAGCTCTATGGATTGCATTAGCAGGGAACCCTAAACTTTCGGGCGATATTTACGTTCGAAAGTCTTTTCAATGCAGCGCTTGTGTTGGCGTGACTCCAAACGGCTGCCGTCGTCTTGCCGCCAGCTTTAAAAGCCATTCGAGAGTTCCGAGGTGAAATCATTCGCTTTAGACCAACAGTGCAAACCAAATGTCGATTCGCTGGAAAAAATTCCGATAATGTGTCGATATCGTCGAATCTTGCAGCTGAGTTGGAGTTCCGATATTTAATTTTTCGACCCGAAAGGTCGCCTTGCTGCAGTTTTTTCATGTAAATTTGTGTTATACGCTAACACATTAATATTGTGTGCTGGCTACTTATTAATGTTATACTTATATATAATACTATAATACTATATATAATACTATATATAATACTATATAATACTAATATAATACTACTGTAAAAACTTGGTATGATCTACAATTTGAAGTAAAAACTAAAGGCATAAATTTTATAAATAATTAATTCAATTCCAACGCACGACTAGATATAAGCATATTTATTTCGCCAATACCGCAATGCGAGTTGATTAAAAGTTCACTACTTGCTATTCATTGAAATGAGTTGCGTCGAGTTTAATAAAATGTCACGAGTTGACTTTGTGAAGGGATTCCACAGCTCTCCCTCATTATTGTTCCGAAATTCAAATTTGAGATTGCTAAACCAACTGTTATTACAGGATTTCGGTATCCATTTAATTACGTAAGCTGTCTTTACTTTTATAGTGCAATACATCGCACGATATTTGCTGCGGACGCGAACGCCTCAGGAACGTTCGTAATTGCGCATTCCGGACGCATTCCCGTTGCGTCATTTTTTGCGTGCGTTAGCGACGGCAGCGCAAGATATTGAAAAGACTTTAAAATTTACGACGTCAGTGCCGTGTTTCTAGACAGATTTTCCGGGCACGCAAGTCAACTTGAATTCGAGCATATATAGTAACTTGATATATTTCCGTTTTTAGAGTATTGTATTCAGAAAACATTTATTTCCAAAGCTCTGTGATAATCTAAAGTTTTTGGCAATGAGCATGGATCTAAATTAACTTGATAAAAGCCAAACCCACTTTAACTCCAACTTGATTATCTTGAATCGTATTAAGAACATATTAATTAACTTGACTCGATATTAAAACCGTGCTAAAATTGTTGTTTCGTCCAACGATCAAGTGTGTTTAAATTCAGGTCACCCGCTCACGTCACCCGCTCACGTCACCCGCTCACGTCACCCGCTCATGTCACCCGCTCAACTCACGTCACCCGCTCACGTCACCCGCTGCGCAGGTGTAAAATCATTATTTTTTATCAATGTTTGTGTGGACTAAAGCTTCATTTGTGTCAATTACGTATCGTTTAACTAAATAATTCTGAAACCAGGTAACCCATATAGCTAAAATTTTTAATATGTAACAGCCACTACACGGGTGTAATATTTACATGTATCTCGAATTTGGTGGAGACTGAACTTCTTTTGCGGCAGGTATTGTTATTTAACTTATTTAGAAATTACCACGAATACATACATTAAATTTTATTCCTGCAGGTATAAAGTAAAATATTTCTCGAGTTTGAAGGAAGACGTTGCTTCATTGGTTATCGATTAATCATTTTCTTCAGAAACGACAAAACCCACATTTTTGTGATTATTGCAGTCAATGTGCAAGTGTAAAATCAAATATATATTATTATGATTTGGGGTATAGAGATATCAACTTTATTTGCGGAATTTATCGCTTAATTAATTAAGAAACGACTATACTCCATGTACATATAAATTATTGCCGCGACTGCGCCAGCAATCATGTTGAATGTCTCTCATGTGGACCAGGACCTGTATAATTGTATAATTATATGTATAATTTATAATGTATAATTACTTGAATCTGAAATTGGAACACGTTTCGTCTGATATTTTTGGCGCTAAACTGTTACGGAAATTCTAAAGTTATTCTGGGCTATAAAAAATAATATCGCTATATATTCCCTTTTTCTCCCGGTTAAATTATCGCGTGCATTTTATCTCAATTCTTCATTTATAATTAACTCAAACAGTTTACATCTGGAAGCCATTCATGTTTTTCCCGAGTAGCCCGCCCAGTCTTGCAGTGTTTGGCTCGTGCATTTCAAGTGGTTTATTCATAAGCAACAGGCAGCGGGTCTTTAATAGCTTGGAAATTACAAAACTTGGCGTGAATTCAGGAAGGCCAGGCGGCAACTTAGCGAGACCATTTGTGTTGGTTATTGACATGGAAATGAAGCGGCGCTTCTGTTTCAAAAACCTTCTTTGCTATTCACTGCCCGCGCTCAAATGCCGTGTTTCTTAAAGCCTCTTTGCCACTGGGCTAACGACTTCGAATGTTTCTGCGGCACTGATGTTGTTTACAGCTCTGCTGTATACAGTACTGATGTTGTTTACAGCTCTGTTGTTTACAATACTGATGTTATTTTTGGAACTGATGTTGTTTACAGTACAGATGTTATTTTTGGAACTGATGTTGTTTACAGCACTGTTGTTTACATTGCTGTTGTTTACTTTGCAGTTGTTTACAGTGCTGTTGTTTACAGTGCCGTTGTTTACAGCACTGTTGTTTACATTGATGTCGTTTACCTTGCTGTTGTTTACAGTGCTGTTGTTTACAGTGCTGGTGTTTACAGTACTGTTGTTTACTGTCCTGTTGTTTACAGTGCTGTTGTTTACAGTGCTGGTGTTTACAGTGCTGGTGTTTACTGTCCTGTTGTTTACAGTGCTGTTGTTTACAGTGCTGTTGTTTACAGTACTGCTGTCTACAGTGCCGTTGTTTACAGTGCTGTTGTTTACAGTACTGCTGTCTACAGTGCCGTTGTTTACAGTGCTGTTGTTTAAATTGCTGGTGCTTGCAGCACTGACGTTGTTTACAGTACTGTTGTTTACAGTGCTGGTGTTTACAGTGCTGTTGTTTACAGTGCTGTTTATTACAGTGCTCTTGTTTACAGCGCCATTGTTTACAGTGCTGTTATTAACAGGTCTGGCGATCTTGTTTACATCTCTGATGTTGTCAGTCCTCTTGCAAAGCTCGTTGAATCATGTGAATTTTCGTCTGAAAACTCTAGCCTGTTTTCGTGGTTCAAAGAGCGTTTCTTTCGCGCTTGGTCAAGGCTGCCCATGTCATCTGATGTTACTTGTTGAGATTTGATGTACCTCTGAGGTCAGGAGTTTGCATCTGATGTTACTTGTTGAGATCTGATGTACCTCTGAGGTCAGGTGTTTGCATCTGATGTTATCTGTTGAGCTCTGATGTACCTCTGACGTCAGGTGTTTGCATCTGATGGTATTTGTTGAGCTCTGATGTACCTCTGACGTCAGGTGTTTGCATCTGATGTTATTTGTTGAGCTCTTATGCACCTTTGACATCAGGTGTTTACATCTGATGTTATTTGTTGAGATCTGATGTACCTCTGCTTATAATATTGATATCTTTCAATATTATTAATATTGGAAGGCGTTTGTGATAAATATCGAATAAAATAATTAACAACACAATAATACAACGAACAATATTATAGCAAGACAATACAGTTTAATAACATGCTATACATTACAATACAATGTAGGAACATGGCAGCAGGGCTAAGCACCCTATGCAGCGTTAATTGTTATAGATGGCCGGCCATGAAGCGGCCGTGACACCAGGGCGTGATATTGGGGCGCTCTTGTGTTATGTTGGTCATTAGGCGCCGTGCTGAGCGATGCTGAAATGGGGGAATTGGGAGGCGTGAATTGGGAGGGAATGGGGAGGCATGAATTGGGAGGGAATGGGGAGGCGTGAATTGGGAGGGAATGGGGAGGCGTGAATTGGGAGGGAATGGGGAGACATGAATTGGGAGGGAATGGGGAGACATGAATTGGGAGGGAATGGGGAGACATGAATTGGGAGGGAATGGGGAGGCATAAATTGGGAGGGAATGGGAGGCATAAATTGGGAGGGAATGGGAGGCATGAATTGGGAAGGAATGGGGAGGCGTGAACTGGGAGGGAATGGGGAGGCATGAATTGGGAGGGAATTTGAAGACACCTGCCTCACAAGGATGCCTGCCTCACAAGGACGCCTTCCTCACAAGGACGCCTGCCTTACATGGACGCTTGCCTCACATGGACGCCTTCCTCACATGGACGCCTGCCTCACATGGACGCCTGCCTCACAAGGACGCCTGCCTCTCAAGGACGCCTGCCTCACAAGGACGCCTGCCTTACATGGACGCCTGCCTTACATGGACGCCTGCCTCACAAGGACGCCTGCCTCACAAGGATGCCTGCCTCACATGGACGCCTGCCTATCATGGACGCCTGCCTCACATGGACGCCTTCCTCACATGGACGCCTTCCTCACTGGACGCCTGCCTCACATGGACGCATGCCTATCATGGACGCCTGCCTCACAAAGACGCCTGTCTCACACGGACGCCTGCCTCACAAGGACGCTAGCCTCACAAGGACGCCTGCCTTACAAGGACGCCTGTCTCACACGGACGCCTGCCTCACATGGGCGCCTGCCTCACATGGACGCCTGCCTCACATGGACGCCTGCCTCACAAAGACGCCTGTCTCACAAGGACGCCTGCCTCACAAGGACGCTAGCCTCACAAGGACGCCTACCTTACAAGGACGCCTGTCTCACACGGACGCCTGCCTCACATGGGTGCCTGCCTCACATGGATGCCTGCCTCTCAATGACGCCTGCCTCACATGGACGCCTGCCTCACAAAGACGCCTGTCTCACACGGACGCCTGCCTCACAAGGACGCCTGCCTCACAAGGACGCCTGCCTTACAAGGGCGCCTGTCTCACACGGACGCCTGCCTCACATGGACGCCTGCCTCACACGGACGCCTGCCTCACAAGGACGCCTGTCTCACACGGACGCCTGCCTCACAAGGACGCCTGCCTCACAAGGACGCCTGCCTTACAAGGACGCCTGCCTCACACGGACGCCTGCCTCACATGGACGCCTGCCTCACACGGACGTCTGCCTCACAAGGACGCATGCCTTTCATGGACGCCTGCCTCACAAGGACGCCTGCCTTACAAGGACGCCTGCCTCACACGGACGCCTGCCTCACATGGACGCCTGCCTCACAAGGACGCCCACCTCACACGGACGCCTGCCTCACAAGGACGCCTGCCTCACAAGGACGCCTGCCTCACAAGGACGCCTGCCTCACAAGGACGCCTGCCTCACAAGGACACCTGCCTCACAAGGGCGCCTGCCTCACAAGGACGCCTGCCTCACAAGGCGGCATGAGGCTACGGGCTTCAAGGCGCATGCAAATTTGCTCGTCTTCCGCCTGGCTGGCGGCTCCTAATTTGCACAGCTCGTCTGTCGCCTGTCAACTCTCGCCTGACTGCAGTCAGTTGATAGGCAGGCGCTGCTCGTCTATCGCCTGTCAACTCACGCCTGACTACAGTCAGTTGACAGGCAGGCGCTGCTCGTCTGTCGCCTGTCAACTCTCGCCTGACTGCAGTCAGTTGACAGGCAAGAGTTATTCGTCTGTCGCCTTTTAACTCATGCCTAGCTTCCGTCAGTTGACAGGCAAGAGTTACTCGTCTGTCGCCTGTCAACTCTCGCCCGCATGTATAAGCCAACAATAAGACCCTATTACCTAACGTGAATAATAATCATCATTCATCACAACGATTAGTAACGCGGTTATTATAAGGTTAATTGGACAGTAATTGAAATCAATAAATATGATATGCCGAAATAAACTTTGTAGCGTATCATGAATGACACTCATAAAAAACTTTTAGGTTACATTTTTTCACACTACGACTGTGGATGAAGTATCATTTCTACTTAATTTTGAGGTAGACTATTTCCGGTGGTACTTATCTTCAGTTACATCGACTCGTGTCCATGTACATTTTTTCTCATGCGACAGCAAATACGCAGAGGATGTTATATTTATGGACTCTCTAAGAATAGAACTAAAATGATTCCCCAGACGGAAAATTATGAGCGAGCTACGAATTTTAACCGCGCTTTTCTGCACTTCCCTCCAACTATAGTGCGAGATGAACAAAATATTCAAGGAGACTGCCGGAGAACTGCCATGAATATGCATCGAGACTGCTGGAGAACTGCCATGAATATGCATCGAGATTGCTGGAGAACTGCCATGAATATGCATCGAGACCACCGGGGAATGGCCAAGAATATGCCTCGAGACCGTTTGAGAAAAACCCCCTCGTGCATCCATCTCATGACGAATGGCCTCATATTTATGCTGATTAATGTTATACTCGCCACTCTTCTTGAAAGTTTTTCACGCTAAAATGGGATTAAAACGGGAGATTTAAACGGATCTCAACTGCGACGTAGTCTTAGACTACACAGTCGCAGTGGCCGTGACACAGTAATGCGCGAGATTGTTGGCAGCTTGCATCGGATGGGATTATTGGTAAATTACACTTTACAGGATTGTTAGTGATTTGCAATGTTCGGCATTGCTGATAGCTTGTACCAAACGGAATTTCTGGCATTTTACACTGCACCGTGATGTCGGCGAAGAATATGTTAACAGTTAACACTGAATTACCGATAGAAATGTTGACATTTTGTACTGAATTATCGACAACTGTCTTCCGACTCGGCCTAAGAAGCCCCGCAATTATGTCCGCTACGACGGAGCACAGAAACAGATCTCGCGCGGCATTCACCAATCCGTCTTTTTAATGCTGTGCAAGTTTTCCGTTTTAAACTTTGTAGATGAGTTTCAAAGAAGAGTAAAAAGTTTCCTTCAATTTCGTCGAAGGAATTACTGGTGACGAGGAATAGCGTAGTGTGGCCATTTGTGCCGATTTGACTCCTCCTCTGAACGTTGGATGACCTGGAAGTTTTGAGTATCGAAACTTGGAACGCTTTATATATTTTGCGCTCGGATGTTCGTCCAAAATGTGGCTACTTTCTGATATTTGCGTTGATTTTTTTTTTTTGCATTCTTCATAACTTCTACTGTAACCTGGGAAAATTAGAATAATCTGCTGTAGGTAGAAAATGCCGATGCTGCGGACACGTACACATTCGCTGCGTGAATATCTTTGTTTTGTGCACGTAGTTGGTGATTGTTGTATTCAACGTTTAAGTAGCCAAATAAATTCCTACTTCCAATTATTATTATTTTTAGGTTAAAACATAAACAAAAAGCAGAAAAAACACATTTTTCTGTTAACAATTCCTGACATTACAAAATCATTTAAATTAAAGCTTGAATATTTTCGCATTTATTAGAATACAAAACAATCAATCAATTCGCGTAAATTCCGAGGAGCTTTTAAGTTTTTCAACTTGCCAATGAGGGATATTCTGGAGCAGTGACTGAAGAGTTCTCTGGATGACGTCTGTGAGCGAAAAAGTTTGTCAACCCTGCATCTCAAGCCGAAAAGTTTTAATGACTTCTAACTTTGGTACACAAGCCTCGAATTCTCAGACGAGTTCCATGTTGTTGGTAATTTTTTTTAAGACGAGCTTCATTTATTGACGTGCGGATGCGACTCAACACTTCAACGTGGTTCCCAATAATATTCCCATTCGCGAGAGTTCAAATTCATGAAATACTTTCCTTTGAGCTTCAAATTGCAGACATTTGAGGCCATAAATCTCTCGCATACACGGCCAGAATGCGCACATTTGTAATTATAATTCCTATCAATAAAGCCTTTTGGTTTAAATAACTGCGCGCTGAGAACATGAATTGCAAATCACTCTTTCAACGCCTCACAGGCTCAAGCTTGAAAGGGTTCAGGATTTTTGTGATTCAATTTGGTCTCAGAGTCAGGGAAACTGACATCAACGACTCGCATTTGCCGAGCCTATCGATGTATATTTTGCCCTTACAATCATCAGAGCGTGAAATTTTAAAAAAATTCTCTGTTAATCGCTCATGAAAAATATAGCATTTAATTCATTTTCTAAATTTAACTGCCACCCGAGGCTTTTACATGAAAAACATGAAACTGTTCAATAAAAGACCTCCTTAATTGCTTTGATAGACGGTACCAAGAGTTAATTATTTCACGGTTTTATAGAAGAATTATTGGTAAAAAATGTATTCATTAAGAAAATTACGCCGTTGTTTAATAATCTGTGAATTATTCATGCCAAATTCAATTAATTGGCTTCTGTGTGTCGAGAAATATTCGAAGGTAATTAATTACAGGTTTTGAAGTCAATCATATAGCGAACGGCTCGATGATAAACAATTATCATTACGATCGGCTCGAAAATTAAGCCCTTCAATAGAATCGCCAACCACACACCAAGACAACCGTCCGATTGTGGAGTTGTTATACCTAGAACCTCACTTTACACGGGTTACCTATTGAACCGAAGAACTGCGCTACGAGTTATCTACAGGACCCAGAACCGGACTACTAGTTATCTACCGGACCCAGAACTGCGCTACAAGTTATCTACCGGACCCAAAACTGCTCTACGAGTTATCTACCGGATTCAGAATTGCACTATGAGTTATCTACCGGACTAAGAACTGCGCTATGAGTTATCTACAAGACCTAGAAATGCACTAATAGTTATCTACCGGACCTAGAACTGCGCTACGAATTATCTACCGGACCTAGAACTGCGCTACGAGTTATCTACCGGACTAAGAACTGCGCTATGAGTTATCTACCGGACCTAAAACCACTACGAGTTATCTACCAGACTAAGAACTGCGTTTGATCAAACACGATTTGATCCAAGTCGACGGCTGATGATCTTATTTCCGATAAATGTGGTCCAAATTTGGAGGAGCTTTTTAAGGACGATTCTTTGAAATTTCAAAAGACTTCTGATGAGTCTTTGATGGAGGCCATCGGTGGCTCATCGATGGCTGAGAGACTCGATTAGAGGAGAGTTGGGTGACGGCAGAAATGGAGCTTGACGTGATAGCGACTTACGATCGGATATTGCTGTGTGGAATTATGTTTATTAGGGGAGATTTTGGGATCTCGAAGAGATAACTTTTTTATTCTGGCAATCGCATATAAAATTGAAAGAAATGGAAAGGAATTAGAAACATGGTAAAAAGACACGAGCTTGAGATCGTAAGTTACGATATACACGTCGAAATATGAGCGGTAGCGTATGGAGAAACAGGAAAATGTTAATACTATGAAGTATAGAAGAAAACAAATATGTTAGAATACACATGAACGTAAATGTAGCTATTATCATGGAATATTTGGCTCTGAAATCTTGCTATGAAGAAAAAGGGAATGAAATAATGATGACTATATTTTGATAATACCACTGAAGTTCTGTAACTCTATCATAGACCTTCATACTGCCAGAAATACAGTGGGGGGAAATAAATATTCGTACACTTGAAAAATCGTATTTTAATGTATGTAAGTACACAAACTGAACAGGAGAAGTGATTTATATTATGTATAGAGGCGCATTGTATTCAAAAATACTATCAAAAGAAATTAAATCTCAATGCAACAAAAAACAATGCAACATGTTCACAAATACGATTTTTCAAGTGTACGAATATTTATTTCCCCCCACTGTATAGCATCAACCATAGCTAAAATTATAAGTAAATTTCTATCAATGGTTGAGATATTCGATCAATGTAGATATATTTGGTAATGAAATTACTATGGATTTTAACAATTTCCTGGGGCACATTTAAAATTTACCAGACAGCTTCTCGCTTTACAGAATAGAGGCTAATTTATATCCATCAAAAGTCTACTAAATTACAATGACAGAAATTTCCTAAGCACCAGAAAATCGTTCAAACTTTTACAGTTACGAATTGTATTCGGGATTTGATTTCTCTTTTGCATGCTACGAAAGAATCAAAATTAGGAAGATAATTTCTTGTCTCTCGATCTAATCTTACAAATACTTGTAACAGTATTTGTAAGAAAATACTTGACAACGTATTTGTATGAATATGCTTGTCAAAGTATTTGTAAGGAGATACATATCAAAGTATTTGTAAGAAGGTACATGTCAGAGTATTTGTAAGAAGATACTTGTCAAAGTATTTGTAAGGAGATACATGTCAAAGTATCTGTAAGAAGATACTTGTCAAAGTATTTGTAAGAAGATACTTGTCAAAGTATTTGTAAGGAGATATTTATCAAAGTATTTGCAAGAAGATACTTGTCAAAGTATTTGTAAGAAGATACTTGTCAAAGTATTTGTAAGACGATACATGTCAAAGTATTTGTAAGAAGATACTTGTCAAAGTATTTGTAAGAAGATACATGTCAAAGTATTTGTAAGAT